CTTGACCTGCAATGGGCCAGATTCTCATTTACAGCAAAGTGGGTTTTTTTGTCATTCTGGCAGAGTAAAGTACTTCTAAATACTTACATTTATGCCCACTGTAAAGCCACAGTCCGCAGTATCCTAAGGGGGCTGTAAGTCTGAATGACAAACTGGCCCAACAGTGTTCTGTAAAAAGTGCAGAAAGTAAGCTAGCAGTTAAGGTACTTTGGATATTACTATCTTATTATTTTAACTGATTTATTTTATTTGCTTTTTTTTTCTTTTTTACTTTTTAAAAGTCCCTGCCGACATCTGTGGGTGTGTTCCTTCTTCCTTGAGCATACGCTGCAGTTCATGGCCAGCTCACTGCTCCCATTGCTGAAGGGTTAGAGGCTAGGGCTGGACATCGCACATGTCCCAGGACTGAGGAGATGACTTCTGATTGTGGTGGGGTGGTGGGAGCCGTGTGATCAAATTTTGGCACACCATTTTGAGACCTGTCTTTAACTCCGCGCATCTGTGTCTTGCTTCTGTCTTTCACAGCACACTGGTAGCAGTTCCAGTTAGTAGCAATTTAGCTGCAGTTATGCAGTTCTGTAGGTAACTGTATACACACAAAGACAGACGAGTCTAATGAAGAGATATTTTTAACGAACACATGAATTTCAAACCCTTAATTCCTTCATAGTCTGCTGACCAGATTAAGAGCTGATGAAAACAGTTTCCACTTGTCAGTAGAACAGGGCTGCTTAAACTAGCTCTGCATTTGGCCTTTTGCCTTGTTATGGGCTTATTTTTCATTGTTGAAGGTTAGAAGATACAAATATTCCTCCTTCCTTTCCATCACCACAAATCCTGTTTATTTTCTAAATATTATGAGGGCATAAAAGGGACTGTTCCTGAACGAGAGCCAAGCTGGATGAGCTGCCGTCCTGGGATCAGCCTGAGGTCGCTCTGCGCGCAGCGTCGGCTCGCCTGTGGCCGGCTCGTGGGTGTGCAGCGCGTAGCTCGCATAGCTCCCGTAGCCTCCAGAGAGGGGGAACGGCAGTCTGTTTACAAACCCTTTACAAACCCTTTACCACCTGCAGCCGTGCGTCAAATGTGCAGAAAGGCTTGAGTTTAAGGTTTGTTTGGAGTCACTTGCACGGACAGCTGTGTGTGTTAATACCGGTGCTACCCTTGGAGCTATACAGCTCTTTCTGCTGAAGGGAGTGGGTCTTGCATTGCGTTTTGCAGTACCATCCTACTGCATTAGCATGAGGAAGAGACAGTCCTGTTTGGGCAATACATTGATATGCTGCATACTTTTTTTTCCCAAACAACTCAATCCAGCACTTGCACTCTATTCACATTGTCATTTTAGTCATTGCAGTTATGACTCCATGTCCGCTGCGTTCAACCCCAGTCCTGCCACTAGTGTCCCCTTGCACATATTTCATGCACTTAATTTGTGCCCAGTATCTTCTGGAGTTCCCTGCCCTAGAGGATCCTGCAGGGCAAAGTTACATGCTCTCTACCTTGGGGACACTAGAAAGTCCAAAGAGTTGGACAGACCAGTAGTGACAATGGATCCAAGCACGTGTCCGAGTCCACATGTGTGGAGCTAGGAGGGAGCTGTAGCCGTGGACAAGATGCTAGACGTGACGGATGGAGCGCAACAAGCACTCTTCCCCTCTGCTCACAGAGTAACTGGCCACATTGCAATATTTATTCATAAAATGAACCCTGCGTTGCTGTTTGGAGCACACAGAAGCTGCAGTGCAGATGGTAGGCGCACAGCACCCTTCGGGGCCTGCTTTCTTCTCCACTGCATCAGCTCCTGACTGCACTTGAGAATCAGCCTTTAAAGACAGATACTTGAGCTCAGGTGTGTGGTATCAGTAAAGAAGCTTACATCAAAAGTTTGGACATATGAAGAACTTTGTATTTCCTGAACTTTAGTAGATAAAAAGAAAATGCCAAATTCTGGGACTCTGAGTTTGGCCCTCACATCTATGTGAAATTGCATGAAAAAGAAATTCCATTGTAAAAGAAGAAAGAAATGTCTGGTATCTGTCTTAAAAAATTCTACCCTGGGGCTGGTGGACCACAGGGTAGATTTTTGGTCCATTTTTTCTTTCCTACCATGACGAATTACTTTTTTTACAGTGAGCAGCAGGATAATAACAGGAATAACTTTTGGTATTTAGACAGTATATTCTGGTAACTGGGCAGTGATCTACTATTCATTATGAAATAACTTTTAGATAATGTTAGTCAAAATTGCATCCTGACCTAATAAATGGAAGTTTCAAATATCAGTTATAAAACATGAAGCTGTAACATCAGGAGATAATTTTTATGAGATCTTTCCCCAAGGGAAAGGGCAGAATAGTTTGAAATTCTTCCAAGATACAAACAGTATCAGGACTTTTGGTAATGCCCTTAACAGGTCTGGACACAGCATATTCCTCTCAGAATAATTCATGTTTTACAGCAGTTTTAGGAATAAATTTCAGACTGGCTATGCAACTAGTAAAAGAGCAAGCAAAAACCAAGCAGCTCTCAAAATACAAACCCCACAGACGTTATATTTGTCACTGAAATCGCTCATTAGATGCCGAGTGTGGTTGATCCCGGGTCTGGGATTGTAAATTTGCTAAGTGGCCTCCTGTAAGATTAGTCATTGGGAAACCTTCAGTGAGAACTGAGTGTCAAGCTCAGATGAGAATTTCTTATCACTGGACTAGGTCAGCGGGTAAGTCTTTGGCCAGCTGTTTCCAGCAGATGCTTTAGCTGGCACACTGGTGGCAGGGAATAGAAATTAGGAAAGCAGATATACTCATGGGTAATGAGATACTTTGCACAGGTAAAGCCCATGATTGGGGGTGACCCATCTTCCTCCACATCACTGAGTTTCATAAGACTCTTTACAGAGCTAAGGGGCAGGCGAACTATCTGGCAGCTCCCAGGGCTTTCGCCAGGGCGATGGGGCTGGGCATCTGGTTCAAAATTCTCCCAGTAACTGTAATGTTGGCCTCAGTAGCATTTGCTGGCTCACTTCTCTCTGTGATGGAGATCTACCTGCTCTGCCAGGCCTCATGTGACATCAGCCCAGAAGAAAACCCTCCCTGCGCTGATGAGAGCTGGGGGCAGCTCAGAAACAGCAGCTCTGCTGGTCCTGCCCTGGGCATGCAGGAATTGTAGCAGGACAGGCAGGTCGCGCGACGTACGGGCCAGCCGAGTGCCCTGGCAGCTGGACTGACGTAGCTGTGAATCAGTGTTTTAAAAAAAAAGATGAGCAGTGTTTTCTGCTTCATTCATTAGGCATCTGGCCTCAATTATCAATACACTCCCCATTCAAGCGATTTTGGCAGAAAATAGGGCAGGGAGCTAGTCTGAGGCGTGATGAGCGCCTTAGTTGGCACAGGTAGCAGGATGTTGTGATTGGGCAGTGTGTATTTAACGCATATTTATGTAGAATAAGCAAGTCCTTCAGTGTTATGTGCAAGCGTCGCAGGGTCCTGGGGACATGACAACATTGTGCAATTATGTAATCCATTTGAAAATGAAAGAAGAGCTTTCAGAAGCATTGTTCAGGCTTTGGGAGGTAAGCAAGCCAGTGATGTTGCGAGACCTATCTCTGAAGTACTGGAGCTAGAATTCAACAGCAGGTTGATGGAACATAACAAGTAAGTCTCCTTCCTTCCTTTTTAAGAAGGAATACACAATAATTTCTTGTAGTCAATCAGTCCTTGTGCTCAGAGAAGGTGTACACACTCATTTGTACCCACTCTGTCATTGTACATTCACTGGGGGAGCTGGTTTCTCAAGGAGAACCAGTACCAACCACCTTTCCCCACTTTTCTCCACCAGTACGGGTGGAAAGGTTCATCCTCCCCTGTGCTAATGACACTCTTGGGCAGTGGGGGTAGAGCAGGCAACAAAACCTCTGCAGCGTTATCGCCCAGCTAGCTGGCCAGCCTCGTGGGTTCATTGCAACTGAAGTCTAGACTGAGCACCCAGCCATTGTGTGTGTGGAGCTCCACCAGGATGAGCCGAATGCACTCTGCTCAGTGAAGGCCTCTTTCTTGCCTGCTGCCACTGCGATGGGAGCTTTGCCTGTGCTGGGACGCTGCGGTCGGCTCAGCGTACGTGGGAAACAAGCGCTCTTGCCCGTTTGGGGCGGGCTCATTGCCTCAGCTAGGAATCACCTCAGAGGGCTTTCTGAAGAGATCCGTGTGGCAAACTCAAGTGCAGTCTCTGGGTTACTTTTTGGATTTAGTGCTTTTTTCCATGCCACTTGCTATTGCCCTGGTCACATGTTTTGTGAACGTGCTATGCTTGTGACGGGAGAATGTTTGCTGCACCTGCGCGGTGCTCTCCCGTGCGTGGTAGCACCTACACGCGTGAGCGGAAAGCTGCAGGAAGCGGCAGGCCTGCGGCTGGGGGGCTCTGTGTGAATACCTGCTCACACTTGTGGTTCCCATCCATTTGGTCTTACAATCCAGTTTAATATCAGGGGATTAAAATACTACTCTACAGACTCTAGCATTCATGTTTTGAAACCTGAACAATGAAATAACATAGCTTCTTCCGTAAGGGGAGATCATTCCCCAAAAAGTGTCTCAGCTTTTGCGGTGATATCTTTCCATCAGACATAGACATACGTTCTCTCTTGTAACGTGTGTCTTTTCTCTCAGGACTCCTATCTAACAGGAACCCTGTTATTGCAGACGTGTGTGTTTATATATGCAATTAAACTTTAGGATTTGAATTGAACATGTAAAATACATCTTTATGCATCCCATATAAATATATAACTTTTCATAAAATCAAAAGATACATGTAAATGTATTTTATTTGCATGTATAATACATATTTGTAGATTATATATTTATAAGTATTTACATATTAATGTATATTATGCCTATATACTGTGTAAATATATGTATGTGTGCATGTATTTTGTACATATAAATAAGTAAATGTAGAAAATGTTGTAAAACAGCTGATGTTTATTCTTACGTTCTTTGCAGGAAAGATTTCAAGTGAAGAATCCTCCACATACGTATATCCAAAAATTAAAGGGCTATCTTGATCCTGCAGTGACCAGGAAGGTGAGAAGTATTCTATTGCCTTTTGTATGTGTCTCATTTCTCCGGTAGGATTGTCCTGGATTCAGTCCCTGCCTTCTTTTGTTTAAAAGGCCCTACAAAAGTCTCTAAGAAAAATCTCCTGAGATGTAACAAAACACAGAGAGAAGCAAAGAGAAATTGGAAAAACATTGCAGCTCAGTAAGCAAGGAGAATAGAGGTTGCAAAGAAAAGGAACATCTGACAAATGGAACAAATTGTTTTAATAACCTTAGGTTCAATATTTAGTCTAACGAACTATCACTGCGTTCTACTCTAGGTCTTGCCCTCTAATGCTGGCAGCATATAAAACCTGTGACACTCCAGTGGCACGTTTCTCACCCATGTGAAAAGGAAGCTGAAGTTTTGGGTCCTTTTCTCTGAGCGTTCACCTACATGACAAAATTCAGTACGACTGGCACAAGTTCACCCTCTCATTTGCAGTCTCATCAGAGTTTTCAAGGTTGTGAAGTAAAGATGTAACCTGGGTTATAGTAACATTACAGGGCCTCATCTGTACTTCAGAACACTTATTTGTCCCAAATTGTCTGTTAATTACTCACGAAACACTCAGGCATTTGCTACTTGTCCTTTGGACCAGTGCCTCTTTATCTAGTGAGGTACTGAGTAAAAGCCCGATTGGAGCATCCCAACATTTTTGAGAGTTTGCAGATGAGATTTGGTTAGCGCTGATAGTTGTCTGCGGCTCTCCCCACTGCTTCTGAGGAAAGGTAAAGTCTCCTGCCACAGATATGTTGCTGAAGAGATGCAATGAGCCTGTGCAATGAGCTCCTGACATGCACAGGTAAATGCAGAAATAGCAAAAACAAAAACAAAGGAGGAAGATGTTTGCTGAATGCCCAGATGGGAGGCCAGTCAACTGAAGCTCAGCGTTGGCTGCAGAAGAACTTGACTTTCAGTGTGAGCCAGGCTAAGAGTTTGCCTGAGTCACCTTAGCGTGGGAAGGGTGTTCGAGACAAATGCAATTGCGTGACCATAGAGTGGTTCTCCTGCACGAAGAGGGAGATGCCCTGGGGTTTCTGCTGGAGGCGCTGGTCTGGCTGCTCTCCGCTGGTCTGTGAATGCAAATGGCTTTGAGGTCTCTACCCAGTGCTCTGGAGGCGGGCTGGCCTGGGGCAGAGCAGCTCTGCTGAGAAGCATGATGCATGAGGCTAGGCAGAGCGTCCTGCAAACGTGGCGCGTCCCTGAACGTGGCTTCTGTACTAGGGCTAGTGGTTTATGGCTGGGTCTGATACTTCTTCCCCACTGGATGTGTCGTGCAGGCTGAGTATTAGCCTCCAGGATTTCAGAATAGCAGCAAATTTGCATCCCAGTTAGAGTAGCCATCACCGAACCTTTGGTATTTAGCTACTTGGGATATCAGCTCATATCCTGTGTTGATAGTTTTAATAGTCTTAAAAAAAAAAAAAAAAGAGGCAATGAGAGCATAGCAGTTCCTGTCATTGACTGCTTCTCTGTTTCGTCCTGAACAATCACTGCTTTGTATCGCCATGCAATTAGCCAAGATGGGTGCCCTGCAGTAAAATACAGATCCTGACACATTGCTTCAAGCCTTGGGCCAGCTCCGTACTGCGGTAGAGGTGCACCTCTGTTCCTGGGGAAACACAAGAGGCATACACTAGGTATCCTTTGCTTTCGGTTGGCCTTCGATAGCTCATGTCTTCAAGGCTGTAATAATGTCTTCTGACAGTGCTTCTCTTGTTGTAAGCTATGACAAGAAGTAGGAAACCATTCTTTAAATTTGCCGGTAGCTGATTATAGTTTTAAAAAATGCTGAACAGGGGTCTTTGTGTTTTTCTCCTGAAGGTTTTTTGAAATTCATTTAGTGTTTGGCTTTGCTCTGTGGTTATTCTGTAGGCACACATTGAAGCCTTTCTTATCTTCGTGCTACTGTAAGACTCCTATGACAAATGACAAAACTAAAGCAGCCTAAAAATAACTCCATTGAGTTCCTCTCTTTTGTTGTGTTCTGTATCACCAGCAGCCCTTCCTCAGTCTGGGCTGCAAATCGGAAAGATTTACAAATGAACTTCTAGACGGAGGCATGATACTGCAGGGAGAGCTCATATTACCAGAACTATTACTGTAATTGTGATAGTGTCAGCGTTTTCACTGATAATCCCCAGGATGGCCAAGAGAAGGTAGTTCCAAGTGCTGCTGTGAAATGTGTGTTTGGGATCGTAATTGGGATCATAATGGCTCTTCCCAGGAAAACAACTACTTTTCATCTGAGCTGAATTTTCAAACAGGAAAATTAAAGTGTTGAAATTATACATGTTTAAAGAAATTGCAGTTTGGTGGCTTCCAGAGTCCAAGAAAGCACAGAACTACTCTATTGCTTTCTGCGTTGGTTGCAAAGAGCAGCCTAGCTAGGGGTAAGATCATGCAATGGGACACCTGGGAACATGCTGCCTATTTCTGTCATGCCCTCCTACCCCACTCTCCTGTCTTTGCCTCTTGCTACATCAATATTTTACCTTTACTTCTAAAGAGGTAAGGTTATATATTGCTTAGAGTTATTTCGTATAAACTCTCTGGGGAGACAAGGCATTGTTGTATTTTCATACTCTGAGCTAATTAACTGAAGTCCAGTGAAAATGTATGTCTGCCCCTCAACTAAACTAGCTACTTCAAAGTAAAAATTAATAGTGCCTTGTATCTACTAGGATTTTACAATGAGATATCTCTTTCAGTCTACGAACAGTTTTCTGAACTGAAGATACAGCCTTACCTTGAGTAAGCCAGTAAGCCAGTGTTGCTACATAACGTGACATAAAATGCTTGTGAAAACAGGGTAATTGATAACTTTTCACATGAGTAAGCAAGACAAGGTAAATCCTTTCGCATCATCTTCAACTCAATAAATCAACTAAATCAATGAAAATTATAAACTGCTAAGTGGCCTCCCAGATTTTATTGTGGTTCATTGCTCCAAAACCACCAAACCTCCTTTTCCTTAGTGTTCAGAACATAATTCTACTTTCTACACCAGCAGTGTCACTGGTGTCCTAAACAGTTATAAACCATTTCCAAATATATCAAATCTTTGTGTGAGACCTCTGATGACCAAATAGTTAGTTGTTAAATGCAGTAATTCTGATAGGATTATCATTGTCCATCCACTGCCTCTCTCATTTAGCTTGTCCACGAATGAGGATTTACCAAAACAGCTGCTCCAGAATAATCTCTCCAAATTGATTAAGCTAAATCAGAAAAGAGCTTTTTTATTCTGGGATCAGGCTGTTGTGATACATTTCCAAGCACAGAGGGCATGAAGCAGGAGAAAAGATGACAATTTTTCTCCAACTGGGAGAAGCTTAAAGAGGAGGAATCACTGGCTCTTTGTGACTGACTGGACACCAAAGGTAGTCCTGCTGCAAGCTGCTTTTGTGGAGAACAAAGAGGAGTCTACTTTACTCAAATTCAGATATGCAGATGTGCATTTGGGGGTCTTCTGCCATTACTAGGGCCTGCTTTGAACCATGGAGTAATATGGGGCTCTCTCACCATTTCACAGTGATATTTTGCCAAGCAGCTCTTTCTCCTCCGGTACGATGATGACATGAAACGCCATCTTCCTTCTACTGTGTTGCATCCCATTATTTTACTTCTGCCTTTCTTTGTGGCCTCCTCCTAGCTTCTAATTTTGCAGATAGAATTTTGTGCCTACAAATTATTAAAGCATGCAGATGGTAGCACTTGGTTATTTCATTATTTACTTGCACCCACAAATTTGGTAATTATACATAAATTATGGCAAATCTTTTGTTTTGGGTGTAAAGTCACAAAAGCAAAATTATAGGACATGGCCGAGAATCCGATCTCAGCACTGTAATTCTCTATGAAGAGTTTGATGCTAAAGCAAAGCTTGTGTTGTAAAGAAATGTATATTTATCTACAGGCTTTTAATTTTTTTAATTCTGGAAACTCAAAATGTACCTTGGATTAGAAGTTATTTTTCTGAGTATGCTTTTGTTGACTGTCTGACTATTGCTATTGCATTCCTCAGAATTTAGAGTGGTTCTCAGTTTACCTTAATGTTTTATTTACTCAGTCTGCACTGTATGAGATTTTGATGTTTTCAATAGCATCACATGAGTCTTAATGTTATTTTTGTCTGCTTACTGAATTATAGAAATTCAGAAGGCGAGTCCAAGAATCTACTCAAGTACTCCGAGAACTGGAAATTTCTTTAAGAACAAATCACATTGGGTAAGAATTTTTGATGACCTTGAGTCTTAGATTTTTACATCTACTGATGGATATCTTTGAGAAAATATCTTTGTATAACATGTAATGATCCAGCTTGATTGATCATTAAAGACTGTAGGGCTCAGTTAAGGGATAAGCTGGGCCTCTCTAGAGAATTCAGCTTTAATCCTTCCATGACAGGGCCAGTCCACATCCTTGTGAAAGCTGTGAAAAGCTTGCAGTCAACTTCTGCCTCCTCTGAGTAAGTCAGAGGAGGAGTGAGAATCATTGGATCTAGAGCAATAATAGTATTGCAGCTATGAATATGTATATATAAAAACATATTGGGCTATGGCTTTAACATGATTTAGTTGCATGAAGTCTGGCTATAAATGATGTTACCAGTATTTTACTTTCACAAACTAGAAAACAACCTCTCAAACAGCAGAAGAAAAAGAATCGCCAGAGATGATGGTTCAGGTTTATAGCATGTCAGCTGAAAAGGTTTCTTTAACATTTTATGTCATGGTCTTAGTGTGTGTCCAGCTAAATTACGTCAATTTTACATGAAACTGTTCTTATTTCAAGGAAACAGAGACATTTTAAGCTATGAGTAGAGCAGCAGTATTCTTCCTTACTGCCAGTATTCTACCTCATTGGTGCTTTGGGAAATCTCTGCTTACTTGTGCCACAGCTACATGGTACACAGAGAAAGCACATTTCCAGAGGCCACGCTGACAAGGTAAAATAGCTGCAGGCGCAGCTGCATGAGCAGACTCCATCCCTGCACCTTGCTGAACTGACAGTGGGAGGCTTTTGGTTGCTCTCCAGATACTGGCTTTTTAAGGGACACTAAAACTGTTTGCTAAAGCTTTCGTAGGATGATACAGCAAAACACCAGTACTCATCCCAGTGGGGAGCAACGTGATGGCTGGAAACCTCTTCAGTGCAGCATTAGCAGCATGTCTGTAAATGCTCCCATTCCCCAGGGAGACTGGGACTGTGTACGGCATTGCTCCGGGAAGAGCTGTGTGTCTGTCCATGGCAGTGTGCTGTGCTGCTGCTTCCCAGAGACTAAACACAGAGCAAGCAGCAGACTGAGGTGCGTGTGTTCAACACAGGATGCCGCTTCTGGAGCTGAGGCTGGCCGCTGTGAGGAACGGTGGTCAATGCCCACCTGAGATTTCCACGTGGGGTTGGGTTGGCTTTCTGAAACCTGGCTGTGGGAGTCAGACCAACATCAAGTGCTGAGGTGAGACCCTGTTTCTCATCTGCTGTGGGCAGAGCGATGTGGGTCAGGCCACATCTGTGGGAGTAAGCCGGTGTGTTGTGCCCGCGGTTGAAGCCCAGGTTGAAGTCTGAGCCCAGGCCACAGCTGCTGGGAACGGTTTGGTTCCACGGAGCTGTCAGCACTTCATTACTCTACGGTTTTGGAGACTGCTACCTGCATTCGTCTCATGGCTCCCGGCAATGCTCCCAGCTGACAACGTGCATGAAGGCAGAGGAAGACCACACTGCGGCGCACGCTAGCGTGGCTCTGCCGCGCGTCCCTGGTGTGGTGAGCTGCACTGAGCCAGAGAGCTCCCTGTGCTCTGTCATTCATCCTTGTGTCCCTTGTCTTTCTGCTCACACCTTAAATGGGAACATGTGACTGTGAGCCGACTGTGCCAACGAAGGCCAAATTTGCCCTGTTTTAAGGGAGCTACTTAGAAAAAGAGATGTCTGAAGCCAAGCATTTCCACTCTTCTGAGATGCATGACTGATGGTTTAGACAAACCCCTCTCCACCTTGACCACAAGCACGAAGCGGTTGGCGCTTTGCAGTGCTTCGGGCCCGACGATGGCTGTTAGCGGGCGCGGGCTGATCTTGAGGGTAGCATGGGCCTTTTCGAGTTGTACCCCCAGACTTCAGTTTAATCAAAGCATTTAAGTTGGCCAAATTCCTTGGACGACAGCAAGCAGCAAGAGACTGTGTGGGGGCCAATACCCACCAGCTAGGTGTCTCCAGACTACGCTGCGTGTTGGTTTCTCAGGTGCATAGTGCAAGGTGCTACCTGGTAAGCAGTAAATAATAATATTAATGCTGTGTGCATCCCAAGTACTCGTGGCGAGGCTGGAAGAGATAAGGGAGATCCTAATGTATTGCCTGTGCTTTGAATTCTTGGCATGCTTTTCCTCATTAAACTTGAAAACAGTTTGGGGGAGAATTGTTTCCATTAGCTTGCTGCAGAGTTGGATCCAGGCGTACACCCCGCTGCGGGCCAGAGCCTTTTGGTGCCATCAGAGACATCAGCATCTGAGCGGGCGAGCTGAGGCAGCCCTTTCTGCGCCTGGGTGAGACGGCGAAGGCAGCATGCGTTGGCGAGCCGCATGGAGCCCGCTGCTTCCCGCAGCAAGGCGCTGCGTCGGCGTCCCTGGCACGCTCCATCGATCCCGCTCAGCACATGTCGCTCCATCCTGCTCTCCCCTCTGATCTCCACACTGGGCTGAGGGCACCAATACCACCATGGGGTCAACTGTGTGTTTCCCAATAGCTGCATGGATGCATTTGAGGCACCGCTTTGAAATACTTGAGCTCTGGAATAGGGCAAACATCTACACCATATCCCACGCTCTGGCTCCCGCTTTGTTTTGCCACTGGAGACTTACGGCATTCAGTGTGACACACTGCACATTTATGATGGCTTGCAGGCGCGCTGAAGGAACCGTTGGGGTCCACAAGATAAATAAGAGGCTGACAAAGCCAGTGTTTGTTTATTTTGTTCATCTGGATGAAAGACATGTTTCAAAATAAATGTTATAAAAATGCCAGGTTGTTTATATTAGTACATAAATAGCAAAAGATTTAAAGCCTGAAGAGTAGAATAACTCAAAGGTAATAAATTGGCGCTCTGCTGAGAGTAAAAGATACATAGCTGCAAGGCACCAAAGGCAGAGCAGGTGACCTGGAGCCACAGCTCCCTCCCTGCCTCCTCGCTCGTCCCCGTGGGACTGAACCTGCTCCCGGTGACGTCCCTGCTGCCTCCGCCAGTGCCTGGAGGAGAGCCGGGCCGGCAGCCTGCCCAGGTGCCGTGCTCGCCACACAGCTTGTGTTTGCCCAGGTGCACTGATTTTCAAATTTAACGTCGTATTTTGGTATTTTTAAGTTTTCAAAACCTTTGGAAAATAGTAGGCTTTTCTGAATTGCAAGTTATTTTACCTTTTAATGTCCTCTAAAGAACTCTATTTTAAAATCCTCTAAATAAATAGAATAAAGGGGTTTTTTTTCCTTTTTTTTTTTTTACGTCCTCTGCTCCTGAGTGAGCAAGAAAACATTTTGCTCAGTTGCGCTGCCTTTCCTACAATGGAAGTGTCTTCTGGTTTCCTGAAAAAGAATGCCAGTAACAGCACAAACCCAGGCACGCTCTGATATCTAATGTTTTTTTCTCTGATGTCTGATGGTTTTTCTAACAGATGGGTCAGGGAGTTCTTGAATGAAGAAAACAAGGGCCTGGATGTTCTGGTGGAATATTTGTCGTTTGCACAGTATGCAGTCACGTAAGTAAGCCATGGCTTGTACTCTTCCGGTTTGCAAAGCAAAACACAAATCCTCCTATCTTCATAGACTGGGAGAGTGAAATAGGAGATCAGATGCTCTGCTTTTCTTGTATAAGAGCTGTCATGCCAGGAGCTGGGTACAGTATTATGCATATACCTTAGAACAGAGCCAGAGAAAAGGGTGAAGTTAATCCAAAAATACTGGATCACAACATGTTGTAGAGGACAAAAGTCTATGTTTAAGCCTTGAGATTATTTATATTCAGGGCTGTATTGCCATATTTTTAGCTTTGATAGCCTCTGACTGTGTTCAGGGTATAGTGCAAAAAAAAAATCAACAAATGTGTGGGAACATGCAGATGACTTTCCTAGAAATAAATATACAATCAGTGCCTCTTTTCTAAGGCTCCTTTAACTGGCTTCCATCAGATTCCATTTTTTTTCCATTCTCCCCTTCACGTTTACAATTAATAGGTAATATCTTCCTAAATCGTAATTAATATTTGTCATTTGTGAGAGACATTTATGTAGATATTTAAACTGATATTCAAGCATTCTCTCCAACCACACTGATTTATAATGCTGCCTCCCGTATTTGAAGCAGCATGTACACATTAGCTACTTTTCACAATACTCCTGGTAAGATAAGGTGTTATCATCATGTCCAGTAGATATACTGCGAGACAAGAATACGAAGTTCAATGTGATTTTGTAAGTTAGGGGAAAGATGCAAAACAAGCAGTAACCCTTCTGACTCCCAGTCAGTTGGGAATCAGGTTTAGTCATTTAGGTAATAAATCGTTAATTATGCTCTATTAAAACAAATTGGGAAAAAAATCAGCTTTCAGTAGTCATTATATCAAAGTTTGAAATAGATGTTCAACTGAGGATTGATTTTGTATATCCACAGGGCTTCACTTCAGTATATTGTAGCAATATTTTTTTTTATAAAATTGTATGAAAAGAAGTGGTAGGTTAAAGATACTATTGTAGTTGGGAACTCAAGCTGAGTAGAGTTGATGTTTTATTTTTAGAAAAGATGCAATCATCAGATGTATTTATACCATTGCATAGAAACAAGATTTTTGGTGGGGTTGTAATAAAATTAATGAAGGAAAATTATATGTTTAAGAAATTTTACTAACACTGGAAAATACTGTGCACAGCAGAAAGATGTGTTTGTATAAAGACTTTGTTCCTAAAATTACAGAAGTGTATGCAAGTTAGCTTGCTGGGATTTTTTCTGACATGGTAAACATGAGTAATAACCTCAAAAACTGTAAGGGGAACAAGCAGTTTTTGCTTGAAATAGCAGTACAACAAGTCAGAAATCAAAGAAAATCTATAATGATTATGGTAATATTTTACATATGCTTGGAGTTTAGCTTGGGCCAACAATCCAGTGTAAATGCTCAATCCTATATTGATGGAGGCAAATGAATTAGTAGTTGCACAATGTGTTGATTTATTAAAATGAAATGTAGACAGCTTTAAGCATTCTCCCTATTCCTTCAAGGTAGTGCTGTTCATCAGCAAATCGGCCAACGTTGTGTTTATTTTATGTTGAAGTAGAATAATATATAGCTGTTTGATTCTTCTAAAATTCCATGCTTTTGTGGTTAGTTTCTGCCTTTGTCAAGGTCCAAATTTGCTGCAAAATGTCTTTGAGGCTAGCACTGAATTGCAGCTGAAGGGAAGTTAGTTTGCATTGCTTTCTTCCTTTCTTTTTGTAATCTTTTGGGACCCAGTAAATCTGCAGATGTTTAACAGGAAGGAAAATCCTATGTACATCTTTTCTATGTAACCCTGCTTTGGAACTTCTATTTCCTTTCAGTTTTGACTTTGAAAGTTTGGAGAACAATGTGGAAAACTCAATGGACAAGTCCAAACCTTGGAGCCGATCTATTGAAGACCTGCACAGAGGAAGTAATTTACCCTCACCAGTTGGCAATAGCATTTCTCGCTCTGGCAGACACTCTACTCTACGGTAAGGCCTTTTAGTCAGACAGTAAGTGTCTTACAAACAGTTGAGTGTCTGAGTGAGGAGAATCAATGTGGTTTCCCAATTATAATGTTTTCACCTTCCCTCTTTTCACAGTATAGACTTTACATATATAGCAACCGTGTCATTGTACTGACAACTTTGAGGTGGAACGAAGGGCAAAGTTAGTAGCACAGGGCGACATTATGCAATGGTTGATGCTATTAAAAGAATAAGATTGCCTCTCTTTCCAAGGGCAAAATGATTTAAGGATGCACAGTACATTTCCTTCAGGTAGAATGTGCTTGTACAGAAGAAACAGTCGCTCTTCTCTGAATAGCGTATCAAGATTTTCATGAACCCGGCCAGGCTGGAGCTCCTGTCTGGTGTTTCATCCAAAAAGATCTTTTCTAGCAGCACTTTCCTTCCATGATGCTATGAACAAGAATTGTATGAAAAGAAAGAGCACTTCATTCTTCAAACCTGCTGTCAGTTATAGCCCCAGGCCAGGCTTTACTATGAAGTCTCTCTTTCCAAACACTGGAGGTTTTTTTTTAGTTTGTTAAAAAGGCAGGATCGCTTCCTAAGATTGAATGGGGGTCTGCTCTTCTATAGGCCTTCACATTCCTTGGATACTTCCTCATTATTATAAAACATACTAAGCAACATCTTTAGACTACCAATACAGTTACTTAGGGACACAGCTCAGAGTGTGAGATGGAAGTCACTCATATGCCTTTTCAGTTTTTTGACCTTTATAGGATTTTGTTGCATAATACTGTGGGAGATAAAGAAGACCTACAAAGATGGAACCAATGAGAACTTGCATTTTTTTGGGCTACATCTTCCAGTAGAGGTTCAGTTTTGGTTTATCAGTCGATGCTTGTGTTGGCTTTTAGTTCATGTTCAGTGAGTATCAGTAAATGGATGCAATCCAGCTACAGCCTGAGTGGTAATGGATCTGATATCTTGGCAATTGAATTCAAGGACATCTGGGAAGAAGTGAGCAGGAGGAGGCAGACACACAGTTCTGCCAAAGAGATATAGATGGTAGAGTGCAGCAAAAGCAGTTGCCCAGGTTTTTCTTTAAATATTGCAAAGGTTTGGTGACTTCAGCTTTTGGTTTTCTTCGGTCTTCAATTATTATGACAGAGATGTGGTAGAGTCTTGTGGTCGTAGGAGGATGTCTGGTCCTGTGCTTTGTCTTTGGGAGGCAAGTTTGTGATTACTTATACCAGGAACGCATAAATCAGGTATACATTACATGTCTCTTACATTTTTTCTCTTCCTTTCCTTCCATCCTTCCTCCTTTTTCACGTATCCCCCTTTCTCCCTTATCTTTTGTTATTCCCATTTCAATATCTCCTTCCTTACATCCTTCTTTTCCTTCCCTCTTTCACACACTCTTCTCCTATTCTCTCTTTTGCATCCTTCTCCTCTCCACTCTCATCCACCTTTCACGTGCCATCAGATTGGTTTCTCTGCCCGAACAGCTTCAATTCAAACGCCACCAGAGCTGCTTTTCACCCAACTGCCTCTGGAGCGGCTTCCCTTTGCGCTCTGCTGATGAGGCTTCAAGCCGGAAAATCTCGTAAGTCACAGGTGTAAGGTTACGCACAGCAGGAGCTGTGTAGTGCATGGGAACATCGCTTCTCGCCCCATGGGAGCTGCCCATGCGTTATAATATGATAATCATACATCTAGGGTAAAGCAACAACCTGAGTGTCAGTGGGAGTTTCCAGCAAATGTGTGGTTATCACATTATAACTTCAAAGTATATAGTATGCTTCCATAGAGTGGGATTTGCTAAAAGAAAATAAAATGAATCTTACTTTGAAATGAGATATCTTTTTTTTGTCATAATGTGAGTAGTGTTATTAGGTTTATACCTAAGACACAGAGCCTTAATCATTATCTGTGTTGTCTCATCTTTTTTATTGTAATAGAAATATTGCTATAGCATTGGTCCAGATCACTGCTTGGTTTATTCTTAGACCTGTGGGGAGCTTGAGTGAAGACCACTGAGTCTGGTTACACTTATGTAATGTGCATCCAGTATTTGTACAGAAATGTAACCTAATACAGTGCTTGCGTTTCAAATTCCCTCTCCTAAACCCTGCCTGTTGTCTACAGAGCTGTCTTTATACCAGGGAGTTTGGACAGAAACTGTCCAGCCTTTGCATGGAATTAGCATTTTAGGGAAATTAACAGTTGAAGCCTCTTTGGGTTGTGTCTCATAAAGAAAAAAGTTTTCTGTTTTGAAATGTGTGTATTTTTTCTATGGATGGGGAATATGCCTATTAAAAAGAAATAAAAGGTAAAAGTAGATCAGAGGTTTTTCAGAGGTGGATTTTTTTAAATCAGAAAATACTGATTAACTGAAATAGAAGCTTTTCCTGAGAGCAAGCTTAATTCTCATCAAGAAAGCGTGTCGGATGGCCTTTCTGGTCCCATTCCGAAAGGCCCAGCTCCACAGCTGGGTAGACAAAGTATCTGGGACATACTGAGACCTGAGTTGCAGGTTCCTCTTTAGGGAATTCCCTCTTCTTTCTGTGCTAAAAAGACCATTAAAATGGAGAGAAAGAAACAAGGAAAAGCATCTGACAGTTTTAACAGGGTAATTTAAAACTGAGGAGCTACACTCATCCCTCCTATGCCATAGCAGTATGAAAATTTTGTGTGAATGTGTTTGGCCTAGATTCCTTTTTAGTAAAAGAACAAAAAGGTCTGAGGAGATTTCTCCAAAAATGAGATAACTGAAGGGCAAGTGCTAAGTTATTACTCTTACCAATAATATTATCTGTAATTTCTGCTTATCTATAAAAACCCAACCAGATCCACTAGAGTCTTATAGCGAAACACATAATGGCCTGATTGGATGTGGATGCAGGAGAGGGACAGAGCAGGGAGCATGTTGCCATTGCCGTGGCTTGGCAGTTGTAGACTCTGTCTCTAGATATTTGCGTCCTCCCATCCCTCTCTCCTCGCTCTTGGCATCTTTGGAAGTTCTTGGTTTTGTTTTTGTGTGAAACACACATACACACTTAAATCTCATCATTTATTTTAGATGGAAAAATGTTTCCTGCCAGCTATAATACCAGTTTTTCTCATTTTTGGTGTCTGTGTGCCAGTGTCGCAATACTGGTCCTTCAGCCTCCGAGTTCAACGACTGTACAACCGGCCGAGTCCTCAGGAGCTCGTGCAGGCCCAGCTCATGTGTGGTGTACTTATTCAGTTATTTTTAAATGAATGGAAAATAAGAACAAAATACTATTAGGAAGTGCAAGCAGGGTTATACTTGCAAAAGATGCCTCTCCAGGGCCCTGAGCTGTTCCTGTTTGCTCCCAGACAGGCCAAACCTTCCCCACGCGTGACGTTGCCATGTGGTCTTTCTGTCTGCTTATTTGTGTGGCTAAGACCGTCCATTTTCAAATTGTAACTGTAACTGACTTTCGGTAGCTCTTTTTAGTAGAGTTAAGCTTTGCCAATTCCAAGCTCAGTGGTGTTTCTGTGGCAACCGAGATTCCTTTTTTAGGAAGAGGCACAGGGACTTGGGAGGCAAACACTAAAATGAGGGCGGAAGGAAAAATGGGGATAAGTCTTTGGGGATTTTATTGCTGCTTTTTGGGGGAAAGAACTACTTTCACTTCAGAGTCATACCCTCTTTTCAGATAAATATTAATACATACTTTGTAATGTCCCAGTCCATTAGAAATTCCCTTTCTTCTGAGCCAAATACTTAGTTTTCATGTGGATTGAACTCATATAAACTTCATTTCTATCTTAAAATCTGTAGAATCAATAATGAGAGAGCAATCCAGGCTAATGAATCTTAATCCATAAATGGACTTTGAATGCATTCAAAAATTAGATTTAAAATTTGCCCTGCTTCTTATGCTGCAGTGATTTAGCTTGGCCTTCACCAGTAGAACATTCACTGTTCAGGGACTGGCTGCCTTTTTGATCGTAGTTTTTCCTAAGATGTTTGCTAATTTAACAGTGATTCTTTTCAGAGCAGTCGTCTGAGATTCTTTTGGTTTCTCTCTTGAAGAACCCCAGTTTTACAGAGGTTGACCGTGCATTCGTCCTGCAGGCACTTCTCCAGCAGACGAGGGCGGGTTGGCTGCAGCAGGTCTGCTGCGTGTGCTGTTCGGCGTGGTCCCTCCCCTCCGATGGGCGATGGGCGCAGGGCCAGGGCTGCTGGCGGGAGGAGCTGCAGGGTCCCTTGGTGAGGTGACGCCCCCATCTGCCTCTCGGGCACAGAGCCTGGTGGGCAGCGGGAGATGTGGGACAGCGTGGGGTGACGAGACCTCAGGAGGAGAAATGGTGCCAAGAGGGGAAATGCTGGGAAGGGACACGGAGCAAATGCATCGGTGCTCCAGGGTGTTTCTTGGTGGGGTAGAGCTGTATGGTGTGGCAGGTCAAACAGCCCCTCCTGAGCGTTCCCTCCATGTGTATTTATATCTGTAGTCACACACGGGCTATGCGGCCTGGGAGGAGGGAGGGAACACCAAGACAGACTGTTTTGCTTTCTTCTTCCCCTTTTTTAAGCTGCAAAGCAATCTCCTCAGCTTTATGGATTAGTGATTTGCCTAGATTCTTTCGGATGAAGACATGAACAGTAGGCTCACAGTCGCTATTTCTCTTTTCTTTATGTTTGCAGCTTAAAAACAGCTGGAACTTCTCTTCCCCTCCCCTTTTTCTTACTGTTGTTTAAAGTGACAGAAAGGAGAGACTGTCCAAAGCCACGGCTACCTGTTCTGTCTTGCTCACAGCAGATAGTTATGCCTTGGCTCGAGTACCCATTACACCTCCGTGGTCTCAGCGCTCGCAGGGGCCACTGCGGGGCAAGGCACACAGCCCTGCCCTCCACAGGCCCCGTCCCCCACTGAGCAGTGGCAGCTCAGCGCCCCCGATTCCAGCAAACCAGCCGTGGAAGTTGCCGTAAGAGGACATCAATGGGGCTGCAGGAGTTTGTGCTGAGGTTTCTGCTCGCTTACCTGGTG